GAGAAAAAAACGATTGATCCTTCTTTTTCTGCAACTACTTTGGGTCCTTGATCATAGTAAATATATTTGACGTACCTCCGCCTATGGCTGAATGATCATCCATGAATGACGTCAACGACAGCTGCAACTTATATTCCTATGGTGTGCTATCTTCCGACACACATGTGTGGATGTAAAAAGTCCTTCTCAAATAAGAAGTCGTATAATAATTTCCACGATAAATATAAATTTTACAGATTAGGTATATGGAAATGTTGTGTAACATTGAATGAAATCGAATTGGCCATAAACAAGTTTTTTAGGATATGTCTATTTAGCGGAGCAAAATAGATATACTGAAATTCGTCAATTAGTTATCGAGTTTGAAAGTAATTGGGTACGTTTTAACAATTCTACACACAGTGTGTCAAAAATAGAAAGTACTCATTCCACGAAAATTGTTAAAGTTCTAGTAAATCGGTCCTAACTATTGCTGTTCAGGTCTTGAAATTTAGTGTTTTTATCAAAAATTTTATGAATGAATTTCTGAATGATGTTTTCTTCTAATGATGGCGTTTAAAAATAATTCTAGAATAATTTTCCATTCGCATGTTCCAACAATTGGCCTTCTATAAGTTAATTACCAAAAATAATTAGTTGCAGTCCAATTATATTTTGATGAAAACTACTTGCAAAAAAAAAGGAATCCATCAGTAGTTTCTATTGATAAATGAACTTCTCTTGTGAGAATGACCTGAATCGTTGGAAATTCCACATCAAGTGTGCACCATTGGTGGTAGATTTCTTATTATTTTTAGAGATCCGAAACAAAAAAAAAACAATTGAGTGACGTTTTCGTGAGAAAGCTTCTCATGTAATTTTTTTCTGTTAGAAAATGATGTTTCATTTATAACAGCAGTTGAAAATTTTTTCATTTCATTTCTCTTTCGTTTTCTTATTCCTTCGGGGGGATGTCAAGTCCTGAAATTCAACTTTTATTCGTCACTGTTGTTTCCATCGCATATGTATTGCCCATTTGTTTGATTTTTCGTTTTTTAGCATCTTTCTATGTCTTCAGGCTTGTTTTTGTACTTTTCTTTCTTGGAATCGACCTCTTCTCTTTTTTTCCAAAATGACTCCAAAGTAATCGAAAGTTCTCAGTTTGATCAAAGTTGAACTTCTTTGCTTGAATTTGGAACCTCTGGTGCATCACCACGCACATCAAGATACATTATTTTTGTTCTGGTGAGGGATAAGTGCACTCACTAGATTGAACTTCTTTTTTCTTCTTGAAATTTCACTTTTGCTTTTCTTTCGTTCAGTATCATTTTTGTCAGTTATTTCGGTATTCTTTATTACTTCCTTCTTTCTCTTTTTGATTATATAGTGTAAGAGTTACTTTTGAAATCATTTAATACTACGTAGACTAGTATGTTGTACATATTCCCCAGATGTTTCTTTCTGATCAGAGTCTCAGTCTTTTTTCTGCACACTTCTAATTTTCCTGTTTGTTTGCCGATATTTTATTTGTACCCATATCTGTTTCAACAATCGATATAATCGCTCATTCATGAATGAATATTTTCAGTTCCTATAAAATATTATCTTTGTTGATGCATTCCGAAATATTCGTTGTTGAAAAGTATACTAATAGTAATTACTTGTTCTCTGTCAGGATTTGATACGAACGCTCTTAGAAGTAAATTTTATTTGCTGAAAAATAAATAAATTACCCAACAAATGATCATATCCCGGATGAATTCATTATGCTTTAAGTATGGCACGCTGCTTGCCTCCTCACATCGTTTATGGAGATTGCTTTCCTGCTTTAATGTTTCTATTTTATTTTCAGAATTGACATCTGTGACTTAATTTTATTTTTGCTGCATACCACTTAGTAGCATTTAATACATTTATTGTCTCGTGTTTCAACGTACGAAAATAATTAGGTAGAGTTATTAATAACAGGGTTTAATGTCTAGTATGTAGCTGTTCAATTTAGTTTGTATTTTTTGATAAGACGTGAATTCAGTTTCTATAGGTTAAAAACATGAATTTTTCCAATCAGACATTGATTAGAATATTATTTCATAGCTAACGAATGGTAGTATAAGGTTTTTAACGTCAATTATCTTTTGAAATTTCTACAAATCGCTATGTTGGCCGACCACTGGCGTATACAACTTCTCATTTCGGAGGAGGGGTACATCAAAATCCAACGTTTTTGCACAAGGGAAATACGTATTCAAATTACACCTTATTATGATATTTTTTATGACAATTCGCAAAATCGCAACATGGTTTTCACTATACAAAAACTTCTTTAGGTGTTTTCAATACTATATGTTCACTTAAGTGAGATTTTATCCTAGAATGGTAAAAATTTAATAGGTAGTGAATTTATTAGGCAGAAACTTGTAAGGTAGTAATAGTCATTCAAATTACTATAATATATGAAAATACGAAGTAGACATTGTTAGGTAGTATTGAACACGTCTGAAGAAGCTATTTTATATAGTGAAACACATATCTCGATTTTGTAAAATGTTGACTGAAAATCTCACGATAAGTGGTATTTAAATAAGTTGTTTGATCTTTGTGAGTGGACTTTGGTCCACAAAGAAACAAGTTTTTTCGGAATCACTCAGTCTTAGATTTTTTTCTATGTTGCATTTGATGTATAAATTTGACAACAGAAAATGTATTTCTACCGGTTTATGATTGCAATTTCATAGGTGAGTGGAAAAAAAATTAATCGAGTCATGTCACAATTGAAAACATTTTCGAAATATTTGATGGAATCCTTCGTATTTTGTTGTGGGAAATATTTCTCGTCGACTTCCTATCGAATTATAAACTTGCCTCGAATTATTTTAATGAAGAAGTTTGTGTTATGTGAATTTACCGTTGTGGACGGTAACTTGCTAAGCATCTAACGATGGTGTTTGTTGTCGCATTCTTTGTCGCGTTACTTTTATTTCTACACGTTTTATGTATTCGTAAGAAGGTATTAGCCGGCGAAGAAATGGAGTGCATGTGAGAATTTTTAGTATACAGTGTGGAAATCTATGACGGAATGAGTACCTCGAATTGTATAAGTTCAAACTTCCATAGGAAAACACGATGGTTACTTACGTTATTCCATCCTTTCCCTACCTTAAAAAGTTTTGAAAATCTATGGGAGGATTCGATAAGGGTAAACACAACACGCAATGAAAATTTATCTTAAATATGATTGACTGAACGAGCAGCGCAGAGTATTCTTCAGGCGTCTCAGAAACTAACCTTAACCATTTTGATTTTATGCAAGCCTGCGATCGAACATTCATCTTTCAGTGATATTCAACCATTTGCTAGGTATAACAATGGTGTCTATAATATTTGTTATTGATTAACTTTGCAACTGTACAGTGTAGGGTTGTATGAATTATATATCTAGAAAACTTTCGTAATAATAACATATATTTCTTCATCTGAAATCATCAAATCTCTCCATTCTTTGTTTAGACTCTTTGGAACAGGAATTGAGAGAATGTTAGGCCCATGGCAAAACTTATAAGTCGAGCGAATAAATGAACCGCCACTGGTAGGTACAAGCTCGATAACCGATCGTAACGCACATTGGTACACGGGTGATTATGAATATACACTGACCCGTTACTTGATGAATATTAGTATCACTACCATGATAATAATGAGGCAATTTTCACAAACACCATTTTTATTTGTGTTATTTTACACCGCAGCTTCATCGGTAGTTGCATTACTAATGATGAAGCTACAGTGCTAGCGAAACGCGTCTGGAATAATTTTTTTTTTTGTGAAAATTGCTCAACTATATATTATAATGGATACCTACTTGTGATTGTTTGTTAAGAACGAACACAAAAATTCTGGATGCCAGGTATACACACTTAAGCCCTCGAATCTTCTGTCAAGCTGTAGATGCAGATTAAATTAGTTCCAACTCGAATCAGTTCGAGAAAAAGTTGCGAGCAACAAAGTGAAATAAGTGCAAACATTTTGATGTGTCGTTGAAGTATATAGTGTTCAGTTGTTATTTTGAATTAATAAATGAAGTTATTAAATTTGAATAAGCATATATTATTTATTTTGGAACCAAGCATAGACGTAACATTAGTGCTAGCGATAGGTCGTAATAATAAAATATTCTTTATACTAACCTCGACATAAATTTTCTCATTGTTGTAAAATTATATGAATGTTCGAACTGAAGATCCAAAGTAGAACATGCAATTTTTGAAGAGATTGTGGAAAAAGAAATAATTTTGAAAAATGTTTTTAATTATTTTTCTTCTTAAATATTCAATATATCAAGTATTTATTTTCTCATTTTTTGAATATATTTTTATTATCATCCTGAATTCATTTTTAATTGTTGTTAATTGTTGTTTAATTCTTGTTGTATAGGAAAAATTAGATTTGATGTATATAGATACATAAAAAAAAACTGAAAAGATAAAATGTGAATTGACTGGAATTCGAATTCGGCTCTTCTGTTCGTTGCATGAAAGAGAAAAATATTTTTTTATAAAATACTAGTTGTTGAACGCGGCTTCGCCCGTGTAGAATTCGGTAGTTGTAGTACTAATTAGTACTATGTTGCTGTATCGCTGCTGTTCCAATGTTTTGCGCAGCGTTACAGAACAGTGCTTTCAAAACATTGTTCTACAGCACCATCTAGTGGTGATTCACAGAAAAATTGATAACCTAAAAACCTTCTCTATGAAAAATTACTTATACATGTCAAGTTTCATCACGATCGGTTGAGCGATGTAGAAGTTTATCGCTTACCAACCAACCAACCAACAAACATCCATTTTTATATATTAGATATCTTATTCTGTTGGAAACTAGTAACCTTCAGTATTGTTTTTTTAATTGTTCAGTATTAACAAAATTGGAATACGTGAATTATTGAATTTTTCCATGCTAATATTTACAATTTTTCTATCAGATTTTTTTATGTGCCGTTTCAACCACTCATTATATTGTTTCAGGATTTGTTTCGTGCTCGCCAAGTCCTTGCAAAAATGGCGGCACGTGCTTTTCATCGCCAAAGGACGACAGGTTTTGCAAGTAAGTATACATACATAGTCTTTTACCTCTTTCCGCACATTCTTTTTGGAAACTTTATTCCAACATATGAAATGTTACCGATGGTAAAACAGCAACAGGGAAAAAAAACAAAAGTGCCAATTAAGAATGCACCCTTTCTGTTCTACAGTCATAGGTCCCTACTGTAGAATAAATAGTTCGTTATAAAGGGGAAGTGTCATTGGAAACTACAAAGCGTTTATTCCGATTATGATCAGTTTTATTTTGTCGCGTTGTTGAAATTTATGAGCTTATTTTGAATCATAATACAAGTTGAGGAAACAATGTTTGTGTAATGATTGTTGTAATTGATTGTGAATATTGTTTCTAGCTCTCGGTCTAGCTGTATATAAGCAAGTTCCTCATCCTTTAAATTACTAATGGGTTTCTAGGATTTGAATATTGGGGAAAACAACTGACCGTTTTTTCAAAAAGTATACAGTACCTATCAATAAATATATTTTTGAATGTGAATAAAAATATATGGAATTTTGCTCATTCACATGTTGAAGTAGAGGTACATGGCCAAAATACATTGTCAAGATATCAAAAGAATTGTAATTTTATGAAAAAATCTTGACTCCTAGTGCCTCTTCAGGGGGTGTGTGAATTACAAAAAAAAATTCTTTCATGTGTAGCTTAGTTTAGGTTAGTAGTTTATGTTCTCTTGTTGCTAGGTGTTTATGTTTGGTTTTGGTGGGTACAATGCTTTTATTCTGTGTTCATGGGTCGGGTTAGGAGGTGTTATCTTAGTCCTAGGGCATTGCGGTTCTTGTATGTGGATGGATTTGTCTTTAGTGGAGTTGTTGCGAGTGGTCCGGGTATAGTTGCAGGTGGTTCGTTGGTTGGTTCAGGTTCGTGTAGGCCTTGGGGATAATTCAACATTACCTTCTAAGCGGGTCTACATAGAAAGTGCTTCTGTAACTTTATGTAGATCTATCCTATGTACTTTTCCAGCTTAGCTTGGTTTAAGGTATCTTTGGCCACAATGTCAGTAGAAATGACTTCGTCTTCAAGCTATTTTATTATTTTCATTCAGTTTTGCACTGAGGAAAAATAATCCAGTTGGAAAAATTTTGGTTTATTGGCTTATTTCTGCTTAGTTAACATAATAATAGAACCCAGTGATGTATTTCAATTCGGAAATTTTGATAAAATTAGAAGCTGATTTAGTTTTTCAAATTACAAAGTGGTTCTTCTATTATTTAAATGAATGAATTCTATTCGTCTGGTGAATTGTTTTCAATGAGTTGGAGACGTAAGAAAATAATTGAAGTAGTGAATTTACGAGGAATTACAATATTCAATTGAGGAATTATTGTATGCCCCTCATTTAATCCGATTGTAATATGAAGATTATTTTGGTGTAAATCAAAGATTCGTGTGGTGTTCGGGCGCCTACATAAAATTATTGCAGGTAAGGATGCCAGTTCTCTCCGCTGGGTAGGTACACGCAGCAGAGAGAGCAAGCACAGTGTGGGTAGAAAAAAGGATTATCTATTATCTGGTGTGTTGTCGAGTGGCCGAGGCACGCCCAGGTCTCTTTCTGTTTCGAATCTACAGGGTGGCCGATGGATTAGGAACTAGTAGGTTTTTCGTTCGCTACACTATTATTGCTTATGGGCATCAGTCATTAACGATATGAAAAAGTATTTTTATCATTAGTTTATCAGAACCGTTGGCATTACTATATTATGCTCTGATTCAGTTGAAATATATTTTTCCGTTAACCAGTTGTTCTCTTACGAATGACAACTCTGGAAACTTGTCCGAGGTCTTACCCTTCAAAGTGTGATACGCAGTGATAAATCAATCGTCGGGCCATCGGGATCGAACCACTGCATGAGTAGAATGAACGACTCACGCTAACCAACCGGCTACCGTCCCTCCAAACATATTTGTTGATGCTTAAAACCAATGTAGGCATGTTAAGAATGGTTGATTATAAATTAATATAGAATAGCTAACTGAGAATTTTCCTGTCCAAATCGACAATTCCATCATCATAAAGTCTAGATAGTAGGTGCAGTGCACAAGAAACCTCTATGATTTATGAAAACATATGACAGGTCTTTGTTTCATCTTCTTACTCGGACTTCGTATTTGGACGATTGACTTCCTTAATAATGTAGGCATGTTAAGAATGGTTGATTATAAATTAATATAGAATAGCTAACTGAGAATTTTTCTGTCCAAATCGACAATTCCATCATCATAAAGTCTAGATAGTAGGTGCAATGCCAACATGAGAAGCAAATTTGTTAGCTGGACAATTTGCATTCCATTCAACAGTTATTATTCATATCATATGACAACACCATCCATTCTTTTCGCATTATAATCCACAATACCGAAACGTCTAATGAATAGATTCATAAAACGGCTAAATGAACTGACAAAACTCTTTAGTTAGCCCTGCACAATAGGGGTTTATCATCTGTTGTCAGATCGACAGATTATGTCTCTACCTCAAGAATATTGTCAAAGTTGGTGTTGCTCAGGATTCTTATTCGCTCCAACCCGTTTTCCATTGTTCATCAACGAACTAATGGAATGAACAAAAATGATGTTTTGTAAAATCTAACCAGTATAATTCATATCTCATATCCATTGTTTTCCTCTAGTGTCTTTTAGGTCAAATTGGTTATTAACCTATATTGGTTATTACATTTGAATCAACTCATTGAATTTACCACAACTATTGGAATACACATAACAGTGATCATAATTCATCATTTAGGAAGATATGACGACCTCAATGGACGATTAGGTTTTGTTGCTTCATTATTTCCGTCACCCTGTCAAGTCATTGTTTCATATCATTATACATTGTAGATATGTAAAAAACTTTTAGCGCATTCCTAAAGATTGATCTGCGTTTGATTGAAATTTACATGATATTTACATTCCTCAAAACCCCAAAGACAATAGAGGTGTCAAAGCTCTTTGACCTTGAATATGCGAGACGAAAGTTTCCGATAATTTCCGTTGTTGTTGCCGGATTGTTGAATATGAATCATTATTAACAAAAACTGCAGTGAATTGTGATTTTCAAATTGAACAATATTTACCAACATCATACGTATTATAAGATATTGCTACTAGCATTTGTAAATTTGTTGCCAAATAAGATTCACCTTCTCTCTTCGATATTGTCAGAGAATAAAAACCCCAAATATATAAACTTTCGAAATGTTAACAACATATAAGAAACAAATGAAGCAACTTTGCTGAGTTTAATCGGTCATATTTATTTTCATATTCGTTTTTATAGAACAAATTGAAGTGTTTGTTCTTATTATTTCGATAAACCGTTTTCTTATATTCAGATTATATTCCCAAATCCAGTTTTTGTCTAGGAAAATGACAGTAGTGAATAAAATTAAATAGTTATTTTAAATATTGTCTAATACAGTATTATCGGGTAAAATTTCATTTATTCGGATAGATGGCTAGATAAAAATCTATATAGGTATATACACATATAGATGGTTAGGTGAATAAATGGATGGATTGATAGATAGATGTATAGATCGATGGATGGATAAATAATTATAGAGCATTCACAGAAAGTTTCTAAATCTACATTTAAATAATTATCTTACACTAACAATAAATAGGTTGTTCCACGTATTTTGATAAATCATGTGGAATATTGTCGCTTTCTTTTGGACACAAATCCCTTGAGCATAAAACTTCTTGTTCACTAATCATATTATTTTGTACAAATTCTGATTTTGTTATCCATCTACGACATATTTCAAATTCATGGTTCGAAATTCTCATTCCACCGTGCAACAGAATATTTTAATGACCTCGGTAATATGAATATGGATTCATAACCTCAAAACGACATGCCAAAATATTCGAGTATTTCAAATTTATTGACATTGCTTGACAAAGAAAAACGAAAACAACATCAGCTTTAGAGTTCAATTTTTTAACAGTTTATTTGATATCTTTTCAGAACAGAAAACATTCTTTTGGATGCTCAGGTCTTCGTTATAATTATCATAAACTTGTGTCTTTTTTCTGTCTTTCATTTGTGTCCTATTCATATATCTCATTTTTGTCGTCCCTTCCTGGTTTCGGTATCAGTTTTCTATCTCAGCAGTCAATATTTTACCAGAAGAGTTGAGAATACATTCAGGAGAATGCTCCAAAGCATCGGATTCAGCGTGATATACTGGATTTAATTTTTCGGTGAACATCCTCCTCTTCAATCATATTGACACTCGGTCATGATTTGCAACCATTGAAAATTCAAGTAGTAAACAAATAACGCAGATTATCCCACGAGTGATTTTTAGAACACGAACACATCAGTTGCAAAAATTTTGCATTTTAAACAAGTTTCATATGCTGTTTTATCGCTGGTTGGAATACACGATAACGAATGATGTAGTCTTCCATTTAGTTCAACTAAAGTGTTTGCTAGATAAAAAACAAAATGTTTTGTTCGTATACCTATTAGACAATGTCATTGCAGGGATCCTTCCACTTTATGGAACCAATCTATCATCTCTTAAAAAGTGATGGATTATTATTGATTTTGATATTTATAATTGTAGCATTTTTATACTATGAAGTGCATAAAGAGCAGGCACTTATTCTGGTGACGTTAATTGTTTTTTTTTTCAAAATACCTTCGGATGAAAACTACACGAGCAATATTCGATGAACTGAAGAACCGACCATTAGTTTTGTCCACAGGGTACCTCAACTATTGATTTTGATTAACATTACTTTATACCTGGTACCCACTCGGCTTATACGTGTGCATTTGTGTGCACTGTTCTTTTGTGCTCCGAAACCTCCGCACACATGCTCGCCTTTTTTTCTCGTACGCCCTATGAATATATATTCCATACGGGTTTCGCCCGGGCTCGTATATACTCGGGATATCGAAATAAATCAGACCCACACGTCTCGGAAACAATGGAACTAATGAGGGACCGCTGAATATACAGTAAAGGTTATGC